GGCGCGGGGCGGCGCGGGGCAGCGCGGGGGCGGGGACTTGGGGGCCGGGGCAGGCGGGCGCGGCGCGCACACGCAGCGGGGCGGCCCGGAGCGGCCCCGGCGCGGCCCCTTCCTGGTCCCGCTCGCCAGCCTGTCTCCCCGGAGCGTCGGCGCCGCCCATGGCCGAGGTGCTGGAGCCGGACCCCGCGACAGCCGAGCGTGCGGCGGCCCAGGCCGTGGAGACGCCGGGCTGGACGGCCCCGGAGGACGCGGGCCCCCAGGTAGGCGCCTCCCACGGGCGCGGAGGGTGCGGGCCAGAGCGCGCCGGTTGATTTGCGGTGGGGCCCGCGGGTCCCACAGATTTAAGTAAAAAGTACAATTTTTGAAGTCGTCTGGGCCCCCAGATGGGGAAATGCTGCCCAGATGGGGAAATTCGGTCGGTTAGCCGTAATCTGTGGCTACATTTTTACTTCTCTTGAGGTTAAAAAAGAAAAACGAATTATCCGCAGTGGGACCCTCCCGGCCCAGGGGACGTAACAGATGCTCGGTCACAACGAGAATAGAGCCGACCGACTCCCCCACCCCTGCGTGTGGGGCCGAGCCCTCCAGCAGCTCAAATCCAAGGATGGGAGCCTCAGGGGAGGGGCCCTGCCCGGTTCTAAGGAACCAGAACCAGACGCCCATCCCAGCAGGGCGCAGGTCCCGAGATCAAGGGCAATCCTGGTGGACCCGAGACCAAGTCACCTGTTCTGTTGCCTCTCACGTCCTGCCTTTTTAGAATTGCTTCCCAAGTTTCCTCTGTTCTACTTTAGCCCGGAAGTTACGAGATCCGACATTATGGACCAGCCAAATGGGTCAGCACTTCCGTTGAGTCTATGGACTGGGATTCAGCCATCCAAACTGGTTTTACGAAGCTGAACAGCTACATTCAAGGCAAAAATGAGAAAGGTGAAGACAATTTACCTTATAAATTATATGTATATGTATATATATATATACACATATATATTATATACATATATATGCGTATATATATGTGTGTATATATATATGTATGTACATATATATATATATATAGTGGCTGAGTGCCCAGGCTTATTCACTTATTCTTGCGTTTTAGCTTACTAAAGAAATATACTTTAGAATAGAAAAATAATGAGATCATGAAAGACTTAAAGTGTGAAGACAGGGACTCTGCTCGGGGCCCTTAGCAGAGTCTAGAGGAGGGTAGTACTGGGTAGTGCTTTTCAGCCTCTGTTCTTGTCTGTTTCTGCCGGATGAACTGGGCCTCTGTGTAGCTAGTGTTAAGTCCTTTTCATGGGCAATGCTTCGAGATAATTTGGTGACTGCTATGGTAAGAGTCATCAGGAGGTAGGAAGGTACAAAGAACACAAGATCCAGGGTCTCCAGACATCTGGTTCTGGCTCTGGTGCTATTTATATTTTACCAGTTCACTTAGTCTACGGGATCTCAGTTTCTGAATTGTAAAACGTGACGAATAGACTGGACTCTATGATCTCTAATTTTCCTTTCTATCCCTAAAACTAGAATGTATTAACCAAAAATATTAATCGTACAGAAAGTGCTTAATGTGGCCAGTGGATAATTGAATCATTTTCCCTTTATTATTATTATTTTGAGAGAGAGTGCATGAGTGAGCATGAGTGGGGGAGGGGCAGAGAGAGACAGAGGGAGAGAGAGAGAGAATCCCAGACTGCACATAGTGCAGAGCCTGACATGGGCTCAAACTCACAAACTGTGAGGTCATGACCTGAGACCGACTGAGCCACGCAGGCGCCCCTTGCCCTTATTTTTTAAAGACGCAAATTATCTTAAAGGTAAATTTTATGTCGGTAGCATAAGGTAAGTCAGGAAACTCAGATCAAAGAAATTAATAGATTCAGTCTTTAGAAGTAGCCATGCAGATACTAAATCTGCTTTCACGGTCCTTTCATGGTATTTAAACTCATTATTTTATGGCCCAGAGATGAAAATAAAGATGACCGCTCCAGTGACAAGCTACGTGGAGCCCGGTTCAGGCCCTTTTAGCGAGTCTACCATTACCGTTTCCCTGTACATCCCCTCTGAACAGCAACCTGATCCGCCCAGGCCTTCAGAGTCAGATGTCTTCATTGAAGACCGAGCAGAAATGACCGTGTTCGTCCGGTAAGTGGTAGACAGTTTAGAGCCCTGCGGACTGCCAGTTCTTGCCTGCACTCAGTTTAGCTCCTATGCAATTTCAGTAGGCTTTTCGCCCTTGCACAAAAGAGAGGTCTGATGCATTTTGTGGTGTTTTCCTGCTGGGTTAGTTTTACATGTTACTAAGGGTCTCTTGCAAGGTGTAATCACTTCGTGTCATGAAGAGTCTGTGTCACAGACCTTCGGCAAATAAGACGCGATGCACATCATTCTCAAAGCACAAGACTGCCCTTACCTGCCATCGAGGTAAACCGGTACGAAAATCCTAACACGTGGTGCACGGTACCCCTCCTCCCGGCTTCGAGGTTCTGAGAGCCCCAGACTCTTCCCTGCGTTCTCTGGCCCAAGGGATGGTACCCGCTTCCTGCAGTTACTGCCTCTGTTAGTTGAGTGGTTCCTATGTACCGTTTCAGACTTGCGGTACCTGTTTGACACATTCCTTCAATTCTCTCTATTGAAATTTAAAAGCACACACGGAATGTGATAACAGTCTCATATGGGAGTCCCTTTATTCCGTTCTGTCCCTCTTGTCACCACCAACCTGCTAAAAGCATCTGTTTCTCTGTCTGTTTCCCATGTACTCCTCAGAACACCACCGTCTGGAAGAGACCGCACCATCTCCTTGAAACTGCCCTTGCCACCCTTGGCAGTGCCCTTGCATTTGTCACATGATGGCAGTCCTTGCCCATGTGACCCCTGAAGCCTTTGTGTATCGTATATTGACTTTGTATATTGACTAATCTATTCTCTGGATACTTATACAGCCTGTTAAGTCTGAGCACGTCACTCTCTGGCCGTTTGTCTCGTCCTGTTCCTCTCTTTCACCTGTCCCTCTCTCACCCTGTTCCTCTCTCTCACCCAAGAATGCTCCACATTGACCCTCATGTCAGAACAGACTTACTCTGGGTGATCTGTTTACAAAGCTCTAACTCCCTGTGTCCCGTGACTCTCCTATTGTCTCTAGCCCTGATTTCTCTACTTGTTGGACATTTCCATGTGAAGGGTGTGGGGATTAAACTCAACAGCTCTAAAAATGAGCCTTCCCCCAATTGCCAGTTTATAGGGGCAGTGATCTTCTAGTGGCTGTCTCAGAAAAGGACCTCATTTGACAATAAATTTCATATATTGAAAAAATAAAATAAAGAGCTATAAAAAAAAAAAAAAGAAAAGAAAAGGGCCTCATCAGCCAGACAGCCTCCCCAGCAGAGGTCTCCACAGCCACCAGCAGCGCGCTCTTCCCTGACAACTGATTGCCAGATCTGGTCCATTCTCCTTGGAAATGATCCATGATTCTGTTCCCTTCTCTCCATCCCTGGGACTTCCTCAGGACCTCATCTTACGGGAACCACATCCAAGTCACCTTCGTGTACCCTAGTGCTTGGCACAGTGCCCGATCCCCCGCAGATGCTCGGATGTTTATTCATCTCAGATCTCGTGTGTTCCGCCTCAGCAGCCTCCCGGCTGTTGGGAGCAACCTGCCCGCCGTTCTCTTCCTGTCCCGCTCCACACTGGAGTCCTTGATCTTCCTTACTATGGCAGCAGCAAAGCAATAAACCCCAACCTGGGACTTCACTAAAAATCTCTGTGGCTTTCACTTGCTTCAGGGTGAAGTTCGGATTGTTCACGATGTCTTTTATCACGTGACCCAACCCCATCTCCCCACTGGTTATGTTCCCCTGACCTTCCCACCCTTCACTGAGCAGGCCATTTCTTCCATCTCTCTCTCTGTCTTTTTAAGTTCTGATTTAAGTTCCAGTTAGTTAA